ATTGAGGCTCACCTTTCTCACCCCAGCACTTTGAAAATGGCCTAAGGTCATAAGAGAAAAAGTGTATAAGAATTGTATGAGAAGAAAAGAAAGGCCTTAGAAGAGGCATATCCCAAAATGCTTTGCACAGAGAGCTCTCCTCACAAAGCATTATGGGATTTGCTGTCCCAGCTGCCTACATCGTAGGCTGCTACTACCCAACAGCGGCAACTAATAACAAAGATGGCGCAGGCACTACGCAGTGGACCAACTGTCATCTGTTTGTTTTTTTTAAGTGAAGAGTCTTTTAGAAATGTTTAGAAAATCCTCCACAATACCTTTAACGCTCGATTGTTTGCTTGGTTGGATCAATTCAACAATGACACGCCTGATATTACATCTGCAGGATAGCATGGGAACTTCAGATCTGAAGTACATTGAGGGAAAATAGGCTACAGGCTAATAGGTTCTTCAGCGGTGAAGCACCTAGGTGTCAGTCTGCTCATCAAATTATTTTTTAGTCATAAATGGTAAAGAAAAAAAAGGTATTTAACAAATTTTTGGGTCAAAACTTACAAAACTAAGTGAATTTTGTGGAATTTGCTGCACAAAGCACTGATTTCATTCCCATAAAAAAAGTTACAATCATAATAATATTTCTTCAAATCTTAGACTATAACTAGCGTAAAAACAGAGCTTTACCTCCATCGTCTCAGCTCAGATATTCCCAGCTCACATTTATTACAAATGTTAAACTAACAAGCATCTATGAGAAAGGTATGACCCGTTTAAAACACTGACAATCTCCCTAAATGTTAAACTTGTATTTTTACCGATGACATGATCGAACTGGTCACATGATTTCCTTTGATGATAATCCCTATATCTCAATGTTTCATTCTCATCTCAACTATTTCTTGTAATCATCCTCCCCCTTTATACCCTCACCTCTCCATAAGATCTGAAGAGTCTCGTCTGAAGTCTGAGTCTCCTGCAAACACTGTTGATCCACTGCCACCGAACTCTGGGGAAGCAGTCTTATCCACATAACTTCATTAACATCAAGGTGCTTTTGATGCAAGGGGTCTTGTTTCAAAGAAAGTGAAAAACTTTGAAAGTATTTTAAAACATCTATAAATGCTGCTCTATTATTTTACCTTATCTCTGCTATTTGAAATGATGAGAGAAAGGTTGCCTGTTATCAATGCTGAAACAAAACATCCTTCAAGCATAAAAAGAAAACCTAATGAAATACATGGCAGTGTTTGAAATTTTCTTTTCCTTTTATCTGAATCTGAATCAACTAAAAGCAACATTATTACATCTAAATTGTACTATTTTCACAATTAGGCTGATTTCTCTGTTGGTTCTACTAGCTGAAATGGATTGATGGATGGATGGATGGATGGATGGATGGATGGATGGATGGATGGATGGATGGATGTTCAAAGTTTCTCAGATCCCCTACTTATTTTATCTTTTCTACTTGTTAGTTAAATTGATGTAATTTCTGCCATGACATTGGCTGAGGCACTGTTTTTCTTAACAGGCAAAAAAACATCAGATAACATAATTAAATAAAGCAAAAATAATAGTTGTGATTAGCAAAAATGTGATATTTCAATACAGTATAAGTTTATCTGTAATACTTTTTCATCCACACCCCCCCTCCAAAAAGTTCATAATCATCAACAAAGTCTGTATTTGACAATTAAAAACAACTGTAATGAATTTGCAATCTGGAGTAAAATGTCATTGCAAAGGACATATCTATCACACTAAATGAAAAAGATAAAACTGTCCGTATGATTTGTGGTGAATAGCTTTTGCATGGCATATTTCAATATTTTTTTTTTTATTTGACATTACCTGTCCTTGGTGTGACTTTTGCATTAATGCGCATCATCGCTCTAACACTGAAACAATATATCTTGCGATTCTAATAGAGTGTGAAAGTTTGGAAGACAGAAAATGGGGTTTGAATGAGAAAATTGAATAAATAAATAATAAAGAGCACAGTGAAAGAAAAGGGGGTCATGCTGGGAAAAAAAAATCTGGCAGATGGAAGCAAAAGAATAAATGAAGGATGAAATGTGGAAAATAGAGAACGGGGTGCTGATGTGCTTCTTAAGCAGGTCATTCGATGTAATATGCCTTTGGAGGGCTTGTATAGGCATGACTAACAGATTTCGCCAAGTCCCTGCAAAGTGTCATTCCTCAAAGCTACGGTGCACAGAGCGATGTCACCCCAGAAGACACAACAGAGAGATTTAGTACATGACCATTCAACAACTCCTTTGCTGTCCCCTTTCAAAAAAATGAAGGAAGACTCCCAACACTGAAAAAATATTTGATGCTTAACTTGAATAAAAATTTATCTCGTAATCAACTTTTTCAAGAACAGCAGATCAAAGGAACCCTGTACTTTTCTTTTGATTGCAAAATACTACCCTTTTGTATCCAAATTTAATAACATAGCACACCAGTGTGAAAAAAAACAAGCAAACATCATCATCACTGTCTCAGCAGTAATCAAGGTGCCCCACTGAAGCTGTCGAATCAATATATCATCCATCATGTCTGCCTGGGAGCAGCTGATCCTCCTCTTTGCCTCTGATGTGTGCTGTGAAGCCTAGTTTACAGCACACTGGTGAGCACTGTCTCTTGATCTCCCTCATCCTCTTATTCAGCACTGAAGGGCACCGGGCTTTGTAATTCAGCCCACAAGTTCCTGGCAGCGTTCATAGCTGATACCAAAGCCCTGCTGTTCTCATAACTACCACCCCCTACTCCAAGGAACAGCAGCACCTCATCATCATTCTCAAAAAGATATGTGTACCGTGTGTCAGACACAAACATAGAAACCGAGAGTTTATGAAACCTTCCTTCATCCCCTAAATGAGGCTCATAACTCACAGAACTATATATATATATATATATATATATAGATATATACTTTGTTGTTACAAATAATTATATTTGCGCAGTTGAGTACATTACTTGGTAAAAACCATGTTGAAGCTTGTTTAAAGTTTGCTGCACAACATTTAGACAAGCCTGTGAAATACTGGAAAAATATAGTCTGGTCAGATGAGTCCTACATTGAACTATTTTGATGCCATAATACACATCATATTTTGAAGTCAAATTGCACTGCACATTCACCTCAAAAACACCATACCAACAATGAAGTTTGGAAGTTGGAACATCGTTGCATGGGGCTGTTTTTATCATGTGGTACTAGCAAACGTCTTATAATTGAAGCAAGGATGAACAGAAAAATGTATGACAACATTATTGTTAAAAATATGCTGCCATGATGATGAAGTTGAAAGATGAGTGGAAATTTCAGCAAGACAATAATGCAAAGCACACAGCAAAGTAAATTCTTAATTGGTTTCAGATGAAGAAAATAAAGCTGCTAAAGGGGCTCAGCCAATCACCTGACTTGAATCCAATAGAAAATCTATGGAAAGAACAAAACATAATTTTATAGAAGAGGCCCACGAGCCCTTCAGGATTTGAAGACTTTGTGTGGAAGAATGGGCCAAAATCACACCAGAGCAATGCATGTGACTTATTTCTCCATACAGGAGGCATCTTGAAGCTGTTATTGCCAACAAAAGCTTTTGTACAAAGTATTATATACTGTACACTTCAGTAAGTGTGTTCAATACATTTTCCCCATGCCATTTCACTTTATTACATATACTTTCTGGACATCTATGGTTTGATATGTGTGGATTGTATGGATTGTTACCGACTTCTGGTGAAAATGTCATGTCAAGAGTACCTCTAGAAATATAATTACTGATAAAAATGGTGGCGTGTTCGATACTTATTTTACCCACTGTAAATAAACTGATTTGAATTTAATCGAATCTTCCCTGTAGCATCACTTTCATAAACAGAGAAAAATAGATTCTGCTTTAGAAACCGTTTTAGCAGTGTTACTGGGATGTAGTCCTTGACCCCAAATCAAATCAATAAAAACATAATCCTATCAGTAACCAGACAGACTCTATCAACATATTTCTGAAAAACAATAAACAGGAATTGAAAATACAAAGATGATGCATCACCACTAGTTTCAATAAAGCAGAGATGCAGTTTTAGGGCTCAGCTTTGTCATCTCCCAAATTAGAGGCATTAGGCTGACAGAGCCATGTTTCTCTGTCTGACTCCAATCTACTCTTTATGCCATATCTCCTCCTTAATGACAGGGACTGCATCGAGGAAGCTCCCAATCATGTTCAATTACCCATCTTCACCCAAGCACCCAAGTTTCATCTTACACGACAACACAGTTCACCGTCATCCCCGCCTACAAGAGGGGAAAATCGGATTAGTTATTCCCAGCCCGGGGAGGTGGAAGCCAGCTACTCCAAAAAACAAGTACTTTTTCTTTTTCTGTATGAAAAAAATCAAGTGAAGAAATTATTGGCATTTCAGTAGAAGTTGCTTCTGTAATTATGTTCTTCCAATTTACCTATGTACTCCCTACCCCCACCATACCTCTGAGTTCCACAAACTGGTTTGGTCGTGTGGGCTTGATAGGAAACCAATCCACCAATACCTGCTGGGATACTTCTTTAGACAGAAAAATAATGCGTGTGTTTATAATGCGTAAATAAATATGTGGATGAGGTCCAAATTACTGAGTAACATCTAATCACATGTTGGTTTATCCTATATAAAGATCAGTGAGGTTTTCTTCTATGTGCAGAACCTTATATGCAGTACTTGCACCCAATGTATATCACACATATCACACTATGTGATATGTGACTCATATGGACAAGCAGAGGAAGATAATTTGATGTGTAATAACAATAGATTATAGAAAAAGTACAACACACTCAAATATAGTTTTGAGTAGCATGACTGCTCCACTGAGGAACTGTTAGTTCAAATTGTAAAGAGTTCCAAATTGTTATTTGATCAATTGTTATTCATCCTTATGAATGACCAGAGTGGAATTAATTGCAGGGTTAATAAATCTGAGTAAAAAGAATACTCACACCAGTTGTTTCTCCAAGCGACTGGCAGGTGAGCCCACAATCTCTCCCAGAGTACAGTAGACCTGTCCCAGGAAGTCCTGCCATAGTAAGGGAGGCATGAAGTGGGATGAAGAGAGATGGAGGACAGTGGCATTCAAGCAGACCACATGGGTGTAAAAAGGAGAATCAGTGAGGAGTTAGGCATCATCATATGCATTGTACATTTATATATAATAGCGTCTGAGGCAGACACGTACGTTAAAGTCGTTGGGCTTCCAGGGTGGAGAAGGAGGAGGAAGAGAGAGAAAGACCAGGCAGCGGCAGTGACACAACAGAGCATATCATGGAACAAAAAGACACATGACTCAAAAGCCAGAATGGCATACCAGCACGAGAAAGAAAAGCAGAAAATGGATATTTAACAAAGCAGATATGCAAAGAGGGGAGTTGCAGAGCTGCACAGTTTCAGAGGGAGAGAAAATGGTAAGTGAAAGAGCGCAAGTGAAGGAATGTGATCAGTGCAGATTATTTTCTCAGAGCGTGAGACATAGTGCAAACACACAATGATGAAGCCATCACATACCCAGACCCTTTTTTATAAATAAACATGGTAGTATGCAAACCAATCTATCAAATATATTGTTTGCTGTTTTAAGATCATTCATAAAAGCTGTGGGAGTAAACGTTGAATCTAACATACATTCAATTTATTGGCTGTTTCTGAATGTATGCTATTCAATAAAGCACAGCCTCTTTCAGACATAAATGGACTTTCAAAATAAATACTATTTTGAAAACCTTTAAAACCTACACACAGGGAACTTTGCTGTGCAGCTTTGATGAGGGTGTACAACGCTTAATTTCTCACTTCAGGGAGACAAGGGTAATGAGGCCATACCAGATGCAAATGAAACTTCCATTATCATTGCTCCGGGGAGTTATGTTTTTTCTTTTTTGTAGGCTGACGAAAAGTACACAGAAACTGCATTTTTTCAGACAAAGCACAACTCACTCATTATTGAAAAATATATTTGAGAGAGGTTTTGGAAACAGGTTTGCATAGAACCTTAATATCAGAGCCGTGCACTGAAAAATCAAAGGCAGGATGTAATGCTGAGATCCTAATCCACATTTAAAAGAAAAAAAAAAGTTTCACTTACATGTTTTGCCAAATCTGGACTTTTAGAGTCAATATCATACCTAGAATTTGTAATGGAAGCACAAAAAAACACAAGGGTAAAGTGTAAGTTGATGAAACTGGAAAAACAAACATGGCATAGGCAATAAATCCAAATGAAGAAGACCTTTCTGTATTTTATAGCCATTGCTTCATATTGTGCCATGGGAAACATATGGAAACAGCCCATCAATACAAAAAAGTTTAGAGCATCTGTTAGCCAAACTTAATGTAAAAGTAATTAAGCCTGAGCATACCCAAGCGCTCCCACCTCTGTGATAAAATCCAGATGAAAATGACTAACGCTAATTATGAAAGGGAAGCTCTACCTCTCTCTCCACTGCTTTTCCCATGCCAGTATTGTATTACGAAAGCATGTCGAATGAATTCATTAAGAGCTTAAAAATCCTCAGAGACCTTAAGCTCAGTAGTGGACACATTTGTCAAGTCAGCCTGGAGCTTAGTCGCAGAGACTATGCTTTTTTCAGGGGATTGTACTTTCTTAGAGTAAACGATCACTCAAATCTGGACAATTTTCAAATAAAACTATACCTTTCTTTCCCTCTTACAAGTTTGGCCTTTTTAAAAATTAAAAGGGAGGACAGAGAGGGAACAGGGGTCTCCCTGAAATAATGAAACTTGGTCTCAAATATTTGCTTTAGAGGCAGGAGATTAGATCCAAAACTTACATTACAATATTTATAATGCCTCTACTAATTCTGTTCATCAGCAACTGACAAAGGGGCCTGAAAGGATAAAGATTGATCCACAGGAAGTGCATTCAAGAAGGCAGAAGAAAAAGTAGAATGTTGGTTTAAGATATTTTCGGAGAATAAAAATAAATGACATTATAGTTAAAAAAAGGAGGAGTTTAAGAACTATATTAGAAAAGGGCATACGCCCACACACACACACACCTCAGTATGTGACCACAGAGAGACAAATCAAACAGAAAAACTCACACATCAAAGCGCAGGTTCTGCTTCTCCTCAAAGAAGTAGTCCAGGATGTACTTCCTGACGAAATCTGGGTTTAGTGTGTTATCTATCACCTCCGTTCTCCCAAACTGGACCAGAGAAGAAGAAGGAGGAAAGAGAGGACAATCAATTAACATGTGAACACAGAGCTGATCATGTACCATCCAACACCACACCTCCTCCGTCAGCCCCCAATTAACTGTGTGAATTCGAGGGACTCTGATGAGATCAGATTCAGTTAATAGAAATAGCTGATTGTTTTAGTTCTGTTTTGTTAGTGCTGAGGATGAGGAAACCAACATGAACTGCCTCTGGTTTAACTTTCACATCTGCTGCAAATAATACAACAACTTCCATCTGCTTCAAAATAACAGGTGGAAACAAGACGAAGGCACAAAAGTTTGACCCAACATATTTTATTCACACCCTGGAACAAACAAATGTTGCTTTTTCCAACTCTTATTAATTAAGAATGAGAATAAAAAATAAAAAATAAAAAAATAAACTTTCTAAAGCTGAAACAAAAAAAACACTGCAAAGAACATCCAGTCATGAAGTGGTAATGGTGCTCCGTACCGTATGAATACAGCACACATTAATTTTCAATTAATTATTCAGTCACAGAGCTGGCATTGAGTTGCATAAATAAAACATCCACTGCGAAAAAAAGTTACCATAAACTGACACATGTCCTCGTTACAGTCTAACAAGGACAAAATAGACTAAGCTCAGTTTCATGTTTTTGTGACTGCATTCATTATGAATAATCTCAAAGTGAAACAACAAGCAGTAATAGAAAACTTAATTACTAAAGTAGTTAAAATTGTGCCAGCATGGCTTTCCAAAAGTTTTCAACCTTTTAAAGTAATTTTTGTCCATTTCTATCCGGGATCCATCCATTTTAGGTTCAGCTGCATGTTTAGGAATCTTGTTCAGCTAAAATGTGAAATTTTTACAGGCTTGAACAGATTTGCTTCCCAGATTACCCTGCTTCAATCCATTGATCAACCCCCACCATATTCCCTGCCCCTTCTAAAGAGATGCATCTTCAGAGCATTATGCTACCGCAGAAATTTTTCATGGTGGAATGAAATACATTTAAAGATTAATATCAGTGAATTTATTTTGAAATTATGCCAAAAGGTCATTTTTGCCCAATCTCTTACTAACTATATTTAGGTTATTAGGTTTAAACAACATAAAAGATTTTGAGATATTGCTACATACTAAAAACTTATTTCATAGATTGTTTTTTTTTTTTTTTTGAAAAATAAATGTCAAAACAATTATTAATTCATTTATTAATTCAATTAATTCATATAAAATTTTATTAACTTACATATTTTTGAAGCCTGTGGCTATAAAGTAGCTAAATGTTTAAAAAAATGTCATACTGCAAATCAAGCAGATGGATGACGGGGTATAAGTGATAAAATGTCTTTAATACTCGCTAAAACTTCCCCCCCTGGCTTAGTCTTTAAGATGCTTTTTGTTTACTAATGTTCTCTAATCAACATTTGTCATCAAGGAAAAGCTGGATTTTTTTCCGAGATTAAATTGAAATCACTGTGAAACCACTATTTTCATAGGAGACTGATTCATTGGATTTTATTTAGCAGCATCAAAGCATATTACACATTACATTATCAATCATTTACTGACTTTCTTAAGCTTAATATTTATATCATATATAATATTCCTTACAATTTACAGTTTCACATTATGTAGCGATCATTTATCACACAAAATCCCATTAACATACATTTGAATCTATGGTTACAAGTTGAAAAAATGTCAAAAAGTTCAAGAGGTACTAATACCTCTGCAAGGCACTGAGTTGTACCACAGAGAGTCTAGGGCAGGATTCTGTGTGACAGTTGGATTGTGGGTTTGCCTAAGTACAGCCTGCCATCAAATACAAATCATAAATGATTAAGTTCTGTGTGGCACTACATCCCTTCTTGCTCTGCCTGCCAGGAAGCAAGATAGCTCTGCTCCAGCTAATGCCGAGGAGGTGAAATTTCCACTGAGGGAGCAGGAACGTAATTTCTGTGACAGGCGCAGAGGGTGACAGCAGGAGGCTAAAGTATACTCACTTTTGTCTCAGACCTTTGCAAAGGCAGAACAATCAGCACCAAAGCCCTGATCAGCCAACTGAGGCAGCACACACTTCCTCCCTTCTGATAACCGTGACGAGAAAAATTGTGTGAAGAGGTGTCAGAAAATATATCTTGGTAAAAAGATTAAGGTCTAGGAGCTTCAAGTGGAAATGCCAGACTTTGCTCAAATTCAGAGCGGTTTTATTCTTTGGATTTTTTTAGTTAAGTGAAAAAAAGATGGAAGAGAGAAAGCTATCTTACACTGGGGGCAAATTACAGAGGAGGGTGTCCCAAATTAAGACTTTAAAATCGTGCAGTAACAGAGTAATGAGATGCCGCCGCACTTTTATGTAACATCATGCAATTTGTCATGGGGACATGGGCCTCCAGGGAATTTTCTGCTGAAAGAGAAAACATAATATCCATAAGATTTGTAAAGATATACTTCAGCTGATGAAGAATTTGAATGGCTGGAAGTCAGTGTGGGAGCTTGGACCATAACTGAATTAAAGCCAGTTGGTGGCACAGTGAAGGGGTTCTTCAACCAACCATATCTCCTCATAGTGCAGCCAAAATACATTACTCTAGAGAGAGGCAAAAGAGGTGCTTAGCTTTATCAATGCTGCACAGCTTGACTCTGCTGCTTATCCAGCTGTCACCAGTTCTGAAAACCCGGGGCCATTTTTTTTTCAAGGGGAGCATTCGATCTGCCTACCGTTTCTACGCCTGAGGTGGGGAGATGATGACAGGTGTAGGAAGTTCCTCTGGCATGAGAACTTGATTGATGCCCATAAGTATTTGCATCATACTCCAAGCTTTCAGGTTTAGGAATGTTTGCTTGCTGATCTATGGCTAAAGTACTGCTTTATATTAGCATAGGGTGAACCACCATTTGATTAACTTTTATGATTTTCTAAGCATTCAAGATGCCCAGCTGGACTTTAATTGCGCTTTCTTGAAACAATATTCTAGACTCCTAAAAAAATGTTTTCTAACCTTCCAGTCTGCCATTATATTACAATAGGAAAGCCATATGCAGCAGCATCAGACTCTCAAATGTATACATTTTAATCTTAAAGATAGCACATCTGTTTAGTTGTTTTTATCTCCCAGAGGAAGAAACTAAAGTACCAGCTGCTGCCGTTTATTTTGTTGCTTTTCCTCTAACTTAGGAGTGTTCCTGGACCAGTGCTTCTGTGTTTTTACAGGTGCTGGTCATAAAATTAGAATATCATGAAAAAGTAGATTGATTTCAGTAATTCCATTTGAAAAGTGAAACTTGTATATTATATTCATACATTACATACAAACTCATATATTTCAGATGTTTATTTTGTTTAATTTTGATGATTACAAATGACAACAAATGAAAATCTCAAATTCATCATATCAGAAAATTAGAATATTGTGAAAAGGTTCAAAATTGATGGCCCCTGGTGCCACACTCTAATCAGCTAATTAACTCAAACCACCTGCAAAAGCCTTTAAATGGTCTTTCAGTCTAGTTCTATAGGCTACACAATCATGGGGAAGACTGCTGACTTGACAGTTGTCCAAAAGACGACCATCGACACCTTGTACAAGGAGGGCAAGACACAAAAGGTCATCGCTAAAGAGGCTGGTTGTTCACAGAGCTCAGTGTCCAAGCACATTAATAGAGAGGCGAAGGGAAGGAAAAGAGGTGGTCGAAAAAAGTGTACAAGCAAGAGAGATAACCGCACCCTGGAGAGGATTGTGAAACAAAACCCCTTCAAAAATGTGGGGGAGATTCACAAAGAGTGGACTGCAGCTGGAGTGAGTGCTTCAAGAACCACCACACACAGACGTATGAAAGACATGGGTTTCTGCTGTCGCATTCCTTGTGTCAAGCCACTCTTGAACCACAGACAGCGTCAGAAGCGTCTAAAGAGAAACAGGACTGGACTGCTGGTGAGTGGTCCAAAGTCATGTTCTCTGATGAAAGTAAATTTTGCATTTCCTTTGGAAATCAAGGTCCCAGAGTCTGGAGGAAAAGAAGAGAGGCACTTCATCCACGTTGCTTGAAGTCCAGTGTAAAGTTTCCACAGTCAGTGATGGTTTGGGGTGCCATGTCATCTGCTGGTGTTGGTCCATTGTGTTTTCTGAGGTCCAGGGTCAACGCAGCCACATACCAGGAAGTTTTAGAGCACTTCATGCTTCCTGCAGCTGACCAACTTTTTGGAGATGCAGATTTCATTTTCCAACAGGACTTGGCACCTGCACACAGTGCCAAAGCTACCAGTACCTGGTTGAAGGACCATGGTATCCCTGTTCTTAATTGGCCAGCAAACTCTCCTGACCTTAACCCCATAGAAAATCTATGGGGTATTGTGAAGAAGAAGATGCAATACACCAGACCCAACAATTCAGAAGAGCTAAAAGCCACTATTAGAGCAACCTGGGCTATCATAACACCTGAGCAGTGCCACAGACTGATCGACTCCATGCCACGCCGCATTGCTGCAGTAATACAGGCCAAAGGAGGCCCAACTAAATACTGAGTGCTGTACATGCTCATACTTTTCATGTTCATACTTTTCAGTTGGCCAACATTTCTATAAATCCTTTGTTTTTATTGGTCTTCAGTAATATTCTAATTTTCTGATATGATGAATTTGAGATTTTCATTTGTTGTCATTTGTAATCATCAAAATTAAACAAAATAAACATCTGAAATATATGAGTTTGTATGTAATGTATGCATATAATATACAAGTTTCACTTTTTAAATGGAATTACTGAAATCAATCTACTTTTTCATGATATTCTAATTTTATGACCAGCACCTGTATGTGTCTGCTGAGCTGGTTGCAGGTCAGTGCTCACAAGGAGAAAGGTTTTGCTGCAGGTTTCTTCCTGTTAAGAGGAGCTCTTTTCTTTTGCCACATACATGCACTGTATAAACATTGCTGCCAAACTATTGACTTGATGCAATCAGCTTATACATTACTTGTGTAGCTCAATATTTCATT